TTTTTTAACCTTAAACCGCATAAACGCATTTCATTACACCAAATACACAAAATAATGTTCTTTTTAGCAGCATCATATGACCCCTTGAAGTGAATCTAATTTGAGTTTACTTGTATAAATACTCATAATCACTGTCAAATACTGATTTAGTTTTACTTTGCTAAAATGTTTTCTGTTGTTACCTTAGGAACAGAAAATTTGCCAGCGGTATGATGAGCTGATGACGGAGTGGGAGAAAAAAGTTGAGCGAATGGAAAACAACCCACGCCGTAAAGCCAAGGAAAGCCGCACACGTGAATACTACGAGAGGCAGTTTCCTGAGATCCGCAAACAGCGCGAGCAACAGGAACGCTTCCAGAGGTCAGTCAGGGCCCCCAGTTTCTATGATGACCCAATGAACGCTCTGTCATACACACACATTTAACAGTATTGTGTTTCCCTGACACAATTGTGTTGTAACATTTTGTGTAAACACTTGAGGCGCTGTGTTCTGTCCTGACTCAGCAGTTGGCCAATCAGCATTGAGGATCCCGTGGGTGCTAGGGTCAGAGGTCATGAAGAGAGTTCCTGGTACAGGTGTTACAGGGCTTCCCTGAATTACAGGGAACTCTTTCTGGAACACCACTAAAGCAGAACAGAAGAACATCACATACCGCCGACCTTGATTAACCAGAAGCACAGACGCTGTTATTTTTGCTGATAAAACAAAATCTTATCAAGCAAAGTAGCCCGTTTATAGATATAGATATATTTGTTATTGCACAAGACTTTGCCAGTGTTGCTTTCTGCCTTCGACTTCTTTACCTAATCATAAGATGAAAATTGAAGAACTGAACTGCTACGACTGATTCAGTCAGTGAGTGAGTGAGACTAATTAAAAATAAATCAGCTCAAGACTGATATTTGGTAATCTTCTCTGTATGCCTTAAATATACATCGATTCTTATTAAATCCACAAATGTTATTCAATTTTTCTCTCTTTCTTTTATTGTTTGATTAACATTAAGGACACAGCCAGCAGCAGGTATATTAAGCTGGTGTCATTTTAAGACCGACTGCATGGACTAAATATACTGATACACATCCGGTTTTCTGTAAATGTGACCGGTGTTGGCAAAATCAGTCGGAATGCACACGGGCTAATTTTTAGCTACAGACAAAAAAATTTCAGGTTTTCACAAAAATGAGTTTATTAAACCCTCGTCTAGCAATCCTAATGCTCCAAATAGTAATTAAACATCTAAAATTATCTTTATTTGTACGCTTTCTGAGAGGAGTACCTTTTTCTCTGCTCACTTCTCGCGCTGCCGCTGACTGACATATGAATCGCGCACATAAAGGTGCTTCCACCAGCGCGCGATCCCGATACATGCACATACTGTATACACAGAATTACAGTATTTAAAGGTAAAAAATTGAAATTTCCTGGCTTTTTTCATGATAACTGATGTCTAGGTGCTATGTAACTACCATATAAGTTTCAAAACAGTCAGTCCACAGTAAAATTCTAAAATAAAACTCCAGAAAGGTGTAAAATATGGGACCTTTAAGTAGGCTGTTCACGCAAACGTAATCTGTTATGTTTTAAGTGAACATTTGGGGAACTGTTGGGGAAAAACATCTGATGTGTAACATTTATATTAGATCCGTGCAGTACAGTAGGTCTTAATATATAGGCCGTCTGTCTCATTAATGTAAATCAAACAGTAGAAAAGAGGGAATCACTCACTGCTCTTGATTAAACTGCTTTTGTAGTTTTAATAATCAATTTATTTGTAATGAACACACTAAAGGGATTGTTTTGATCATTTGTTTTTTCTTGCTTGAATGCTTTTGCTTAGATGTAAAATGAAAAAGTAATGCACTATTTGTTTCTTTCTTATTTTTGTTCTACTGTTGTTGTTGTTGTTGTTGTTGTTTTTGCATCTGTTCTTATTTTTAATAACAAAGATAAAATAAAAAATACCTATATTGTGATTATTAATATAGCAATTTAACTTTTCCCTAAATTAGTTTTTGTTGTTCACCTCATAAACGTCTGTAGTTCTGTTCATTCAGATCAAACCATCCAACTTCAGTGAGCACTGTTTGTCTGTCTTGATTGTTTAGACAAGCCAGAGTATGTAGCTATTGTTGCTGGAAGAGTCTTCAGAGATCCAGTGCTCATGAATAGACCCGGATGAATCTTGCCAATAGCTGTAACCACTGCTTCAAAGGCTTTTTGTGGGAGAAGAAACGGGGTGGGACTCTGGTCTAGTAGCTTGCTTGGGAAAGCGCTGTTACATGGTATGGAGACGACAAAGCCAGGAACAGAAAAACTCTCTAACCATGCTTCATCGTTCCTGTCTTTAGGGTGGGTCAGAGGGGGACAGGCCTGTCTGCCACCATCGCAAGAAGTGAACACGAGATATCCGAGATCATTGACGGCCTCTCGGAGCAGGAGGTAAACCACTGGTTAATATCTCTGAAATCTGATCCATATAGGAAAAACTTTACCCCAAGTACAGAAAATGTAATAGCCAGAGTTGTAGAGCTTCAGGAGGGTAGCAGTTAAACATGCACCCCGGCCTTCTCCCATACATCAGACTTTATTATTTCCTGTGAGCCATTGCAGTCATTTTATCATCACATAGCCAGATTATGCAGCATAAAATCTGATGTACTTTGCATTTTATTTTAAAGGGGTCATATGATGCTTTTTTAAAGATCATTATTTTGTGTATTTGGTGTAACAGAATATGTTGACATGCTTTAATGTTCAAAAAACACATTATTTTTCAAATACTGTATGTTGTAAAGATCGCGAGTAAAAACAAAAGAAAGAAAACCTTACAGCTGCATGAGTCGTGACTGTCACGTTAGCCTGATGGGACCAAACTCCCTTTGTGATTTTAAAACGTAAGACAGTACCCAGATTTGAAGACTACAGTAAGATTTAACTTCTACTGTTAATAAGATTTTGGTAGGCTACTATTAGATGGATAGCCTAAATGTCCTAATTCAGATGGGCTACCTGTTTTTTTTTTTATGGTATATCAAAAAGTGTATATTTTTTTTTAAATGTGATTGTTGGTACATTTTACCAGTTTTTACCATACTTTCAAAGCAAAAATTAAAATAGGAAAAATATGCAATATGAAAATAATTGAAGACAAAATGTGTTTTACTGAGAAAAAACAAGATTTGGTTTTTAAAAAGCCTTTTTCCAAAAGGTACATCTGGAAAAAGGGGGGTCGTCTTATAATCAGGGTCGTCTTATATTCGGGCCAATACGGTGTATAGATTTGTGATCATAATTGATATTAGTCCCAAAATAAGTACTGATTATTTTACAGACAAGAAAACAACACAGGTAATACAATTCTGATTGAGGATTTTAGTTTACTATCGTTACTGCATTTACTGTTTTCTAGCTTGCTTCCGAATCTAGCAATTCTATAATATTACAAATATTGTTGGCTATTTGACGAATTGCTTTTGCTGGCCTTTTGTAAGTCGCTTTGGAGAAAGCGTCTGCTAAAAGTGTAAAAGTAAATGTAAAACTATTAAAGATTTGATGTCATTTCCTTGGCAAATCCTGTGAAAAAGTGCAATTTTGTTTCCTGGAGGCCTGATAAAAACTGTTCCTAGTCCTGGAAGTTGTGTTGCAACCGAGTAATCTGATTGGAGCTTTGTGATTATTCGTAAGATGCAAGTTTGTGTGCAGTATGTATCAGACGGTCAGTGAATGGACTGTGGGCGGCCTGTGGGTGTGCTGTCGGAGGCTGAGACTAGAGTAATGTAAACAAGAACTGCAGAATCATCCTGGACACCTTTTTGTCTCTCTCAGAACAATGAGAAACAGATGAGGCAGTTGTCTGTCATTCCTCCCATGATGTACGATTCCGAACAGCGGAGAGTGAAGTTTATCAACATGAACGGTCTGATGGATGACCCAATGAAGGTCTACAAATCCCGCCAGTTCATGAATGTCTGGACCGAACACGAGAAGGAGATCTTCAAGGAGAAGTGAGTAACAGTGGCTTATTTTGGCATGTTGAGTGAGTGTAAATGTGCTGCAGTTATTTCTCACCTTTGTCTCTTCTGTGACATAGGTTTGTGCAGCATCCAAAAAACTTCGGGCTCATTGCTTCATTTCTGGAGAGAAAGGTGGGTTTTCTGTTTTGTGGCTGAGTATGGTGGACTGCTGTCACACCCAGGATGTCCCTGGATGTTCATCAGTGGATGTTTGAACTGAAGCGCTGTAACAGCTTTACTGACTCAGATCACACCTCCCCACCCACAGACAGCGTTTTTTCATTGCATTGTGGTATTTTCTTTTCAAATTCAAGCCCAAGTGATACAGCTGTATTTATATTTTCTCTCTCTGCAGTGTGTGTCTGATTGTGTGCTGTACTATTATTTGACTAAGAAGAGTCAGAACTATAAAACTCTTGTCAGACGAAATTTTGGGAATCGACGACGAAGGAATCAGGTATTTAAAAAAAAAAAATTCTCTTGACTTATGCACTTTTCACTCAGTCTAAGCATAGATATGACAGTAAGCTCTGTTGCACATTTTGACAAAGTTATTCAGATGTGTGCAGCACATTTTATGGAGGACGAGGACTGTTTCCTTTGTAGAGTAGCCTACAGTGCCGGTGTCTGTTGTGGGGCAATTCCAACTTTGCAAGGACAGTCTGGCGCTTCATGACTCACAGCCTGTAAGTACATTTTTATATTTAAAGAATTTGCCACTGACGATTCAAACGTGAGTTTTGAGCAGTGTCTTTAAAGGAGTCATATGATGCGATTTCAATTGTTCATGAAACATGGTTTTATGTTTACGTGGCACGATACGCAACATGTAAAAAGACAGTATAAGTCATTATAATCCGTAATTATGTCCCCACTGGATGCAACAAATTCCTCGTTTATAATGGGTTTTATTGTTTTTGTCTCATCGCACACACGGCATCACAGTATGTTAAGGGGCGTAACATTTCCGTCACACGCTTGAGGTATTCGGCCAATCACAACGCACTGGATAGCTGGCCAATCAGAGCACACCTCGCTTTTCAGAACGATGAGCTTTGTAAAAATCTACGCGTTTCAGAAAGGCGGGGCATAGAGGAGAAACAATAATGTACAGTATGTGGAAAATGTGTTTTTTGAACCTTAAACCGCATAAACACATTGCATTACACCAAATACACAAAATAATGTTATTTTTAGCAACGTCATATGACCCCTTTAAGTACTCAAGAAGCCCCCTAGTGTTCAGTATGCACTGTTACAACATCTGCATCTCAGTCTGAGAAAGCGTGCTTTTAAATGGCTCTGTGTTTTGACTTTTTTTTTTTTTTTTTTTTATGAGGGGGGTGTGTTTGAATCATGCTTAATGGGAGGTTGTGCTTTTTCTTTTTTTATGAGAGGGTGTGTTTTGTGGTTGTTTTTGTACGCTGTTGACGATGTTTTATGAGAACTCATACGTGTGTGTGTGCGAGCAGGTTATCAGGCAAAAATGCATCTGTGCTTTGAGAGTCTCTCTCTTGCTCTCTCTGATTTATGGAGGGCTGCACAGCTTTCCAGGAATCTGTTTTATCTGTTTGGCACAGCCGAGAGGCTCCATGCTGTTGTCAGGGACCACAGAGGGAAAAGAAGAGAACATGAGAGTTTCAAACTCCAACTTTAAAGTTGTTGGAGCATAGTATCTGAGGCTTCTTATTTTCACATGCATACTTACTCAAACACAGTGTTTTAGGAGGAGGAAATCTGGCTATGACACCCAAACAAGGTGGTTATCTGATTGCATGGATAGATGATTTCAAGTAAACATGAAATTGAAACCCCAAAAAGTTTGTATTTGTTGTGAGGGGACTAATCCTCTGTTATGGAAGTAAAATGCATTGCTAATGCAATGTATCTTTTTACTTTAAGACAACAAATATAATTGGACATTACACCTGTGTTTTGGTTCTGAATATTTGGTCTGTTTCATCATTCAACTGTAATGGTGAAAGAAAAGATATAAATTGAGTAGGCAACAAGAGATGGATAATGAATTTAGGGGCATGGTTAATAATGTAGACTTATGTCATTCCATTATGTAGATCTCATCTAAATAAACTAGTGCTGTCAAACGATTAATTGCGATTAATCACATTCAAAATAAACGTTTTTATTTACATAATATATCTTTGTGTACTGTGTGTATTTATTATGTACTGTATATATAAATACTCGCATACAGTATATATTTTGAAAATATTTACATGTATATATTTAATATATAAACGTAACATGTTTCTTAAATATACATGCATGGGTGTATATTTATATACACATAATAAATATACACAGTACACACACATATGCTGTGTAAACAAAACTTTTATTTTGGATGCGATTAATCGCGATTAATCATTTGACAGCACTAAAATAAACTCAACATTAGCATTTTAAGTAATTAAAAATGAACAATTAATAGCCTGCTTTGAACTGGACTTGACAAAACACATACAAAGGAAGGTAAAGGGACAGTTCAACCAGAAATGTAACATCTGTTATCATTTACTCACCTTTATGTAATTTCAAACCTGCATGACTTTAAATCAAAAAATTTAAAAAAATATATTTTATAATAACGTTCTTCAAAATATAATATTTTGTGTTCCACAGAACATACAGGTTTGGAACAACATCAGAGTGAGAACATTTTTGGGTGAACTATCCCTTTAATAAAGATTTAAGGACTGAGCGATGTGAGCCTGTGGAACTAAAAATTTCTATTTATTAATTTATAACAACATTTGGTTTGACCAACAAACTTCAAGCTATCGTTTCATTACTCAGTAAAATAATGTAATGTTCATTATTTTAAGGTGTCATTGATACCACAAGAAAAAAGCTCTTGTAGTCTTACTACGCACTTGTGTGTTCTTGGTATTCTGCTTTCGCAATGTGTGAAATACTATAGACACTGGTATTGTGGTATTGCAGTCGGGTCATCTAGTTTAATGAACAATATCCCATAAATAAAGTCCTCACTTCCCATTAAATCCTCTCTATCCTGGCCTGTTTTCATGGGGGTGCTTTAAAACTTTATTTTCTTTCTGTTTCACATGCTTGCAATCCCTGTTAGCATTCTTTACCGTGATAATGTTTTTAAATAAACTCAATAAACCAAATACCATATCTTTTTCTGACAGAAAATATTGGATTATGAGTAAATGTGTTTAACATTTTGCAAATGCCAGAAAAACTAAGTTAACAAGTGCTGCTTGATGTACATATGATATATCTTGGATAATATCAAACATATGGGATGAGCATATACACGGCTGGTCTAACTCGATTAGCCCTCTGTCACCTATGTGTGTGTGAGCAGCTGCTGTACGGAATCGGCATTAATAACGGCTATGCTTCAATCTAAACAGCGCAGACACGCTGGATAAGAGTGTGTGTAACAGAGGACTTCTGTGAGCACCCCTGCCATGCAGATCACAAGCTGAGGCTTCGGGTCATTAAAAGCATGTGTCTTTGAGTCAGGAGTTGAGCTGCAGTAATGAGATGATCTGATCTTTTCCACACACACACTCACTCACGCTGCCTGACCCTTCAGCCCCCAGTAGCCCCAGGCGCTTTCAGCAAGCAGGCGTATGCGCAGCTGTTTTTGTTTGCATATGTGGCAATAAGTGTTTCCTGGTGTCTCTTTAGCTACCTGGATATATACAGTGCAGTCTTGGTTTCCTCTACCACCTGTTGTGATTCTTATGTTCACATACTGATTAAAAAGAGAGGGCAAGCAGGTTCAGTTTTTATCTTATCTTTAAAGTGCTCTCTGTGTGTGTGTGTGTGTGTGTGTGTGTGTGTGTGTGTGTGTGTGGAGTATAGTCTGTTAACCGAGCTTTCCTGTGTGTGGGTGGAGTGTATGACCCTGCTCCACATTAGAGACCCATAAAAGTGTTTGTGTCAGTCGAGTTCAGCTCACATGGAGTACTGAACGCTGTTCCAAGCAAACTTCTGCTCGAGCTTTCTGTTCCCAGAGTCCCCCGAGAATGTTTTAGAGAAAGTGAGCGAGAGAACAAGCCAGAAAAATATGCATAAGCGGGAAGAACAAACTTCTATTCCTTTTTTTCCTTCTTAAACTGGCAGCACGTGTGTTCTGCCGTCCCTCTAGAGCTTTTTCGGAGAAAGAGGGAGGGTTGGAGAATGTGTGTGTACGCGAGACACCCCTCCTGAGCTGCGCAGTGGTATGCGCCGTTTGTACCGACACCAGTGGGAAAGTTGTGGAGCAGCTTGCTGTGCCAATCAAAATCCTGACGGGGCTGGGTTAAGATCGGTCAGTCTCCTCTCCCCTCCACCCTGCGGGGATTACCTGGGTTGACCCTAGCACTCAGATTAGCTAGCGCTCGCACACATTTTTGTGTGTGAGTGAGATAGAGATGCCACCGCTTCTTTAGCAGGCTCAAACAACCCTGTGGCACGCTTTCTCAGAATATGCGCCATTGATCTGCGAGCCGGGTCCCGCAGCTGAGGATTTGTTCCAGCGCAACGCCGCTGTCAGGCAGCCCGAGGCGCGCTCTCCTGCTCAGCCTGTTCTTGTCACTAACTCTGGCCTCAGCGCCACTGCATTCTGGGATATATAATGGCATAAAAAAGGACACTCATGAGGGGCAGATAAACATAGATGAAGGTACTGTATGAATGAGTAAATGTGGAGTAGTTTTTGTGTGCTTTTGGAGGCTGTTGTGATTGTTTGTAGAGATTTGTAGAGCTACATTCTTGTTTTTGGTTAGAGGCGCAAGCCACGGTTAAGGTTTGTTTGTTTGCTTATTTGTACTTATTATATATAAAAGGACATTTATGTATTTTGTTTGTGGTTAATAGTATTGTTGTTATTGTTATTATTATTATTATTATTATTGTAGTTTTTCGGGAATATGTCTAATTTTATTATTATTATTTAAACTAATAATCATTATCCGTTACTGTCATCATACCAATATCAGCATACCATGTACGTAAGAGGTGTGCGGCGGTGATTAGCTTGGATGTGCTATTGACTTGGTGACATCTACAGGATGGGAGGTGTGCTGCTAATAAATTTGAAAACAAAATAAAGGCATAGATTAAAGGATCAATTTTAGGATTTTATGAATCAAGCCTAATCAAAATAGATGTTTGAGTTGTTGACATTCAATTTTGTTTGCAAGTTAGGTTTTTCTTGGCCTGGTCTCCTCTCTCTCCTTTTCTTGATTGGTTTATCTGAGCTTCAGCAGGAGCTTGTGACCGTCTTTCCCGTTACTTCACTTGGTTTACAAAATTATGATAATATTTTTACTGAACTTTCCTTGTGTTAGAGTTGCATCTTTCACTACAAATGTTAATTCAGAGTAATTTATAACGCAATCAGCCTCTTTTCCACTCTTCACATTTGTTACCATATATTAAGTCACTTTTGTTGGGAATTGAAAAACTTGCAATGTTTTA